CGGCCCCTCGTTGACCGCCTTCCCTTTGCGCTCTCCCTGCAGGGCCTGTCTGTTCCCCCTCGGGCTATAAGAAGGCGGATGATGAGATGTCCGGAGCCACGTCCTCGGCGGATCTGGACGAGGCACCAGCCCGCACCATTTACTTGAACCAGCCCCAGCAGAGCAAGTTCCGCGACAACTGGGTCAGGTACGGAGCAATCCCCGGTTCTCCCCTTTCAGGCGGCAGCCCGCACACCCCGCAGCCGCGGGCAGGGAGGGCTCTGGTCCCGCTCCCTGCCTCCCGTCCCTGCCCAGACCTGGTTTCGAGGCAGTAAGTTGTGCCTCTGCCGAGGCAGCCGGGTTTGTTGGCTGGGATGAGCACCGGGGCCTGGCTGGCGGGGCGGGGGAGTCAGGAAGGAGAGAGCCAGCAGCAGCAAGGGGTAAGCTGCTTGTGTCAACAGTAGTGAGAGCAGGGAGCTTGTAGAGCTGCATGGGTAAGATGAGTGAAAAAGTCTACACTTAAGTACCACACCACCACCCTCTTCAGTAAGGCCACTGAATTTTGGAATAATAGGACCTATCCTAGTACTCTTGGAAATAGGGGTTAACCCGTGAAAACTTAGTGTGAGATTTGGATAGAAGCCACTATGTAAACTCTATGAAGCCTTCTCTTAAAAAGTAGCATCCAGTTGCAAGGCTAGCTAGACTAACCATAAAAGTATAGAATAGGAAGGAAGAAAATAAGTCTAACAGGACAAGAATGACTACAGACTTTACAGACTCACATCCCCATGCGTACAAGGCTATGGTCCATTTGTGTTCTTTAATTGAAAACCAGAGAGAATTTTCTGTGGCATTTGAAGCCCTTCACTGTATGTTTAAGGCTTCTGTTGATATGATTGATGTCATGTTATTGCAGTTTGGAAGCACTGAAACATGGAGTATGAGGATACATAACATAAGCAAGTTGTGGCAGTGCTAGCTAGGTGAACAGATGTCTCCTGTCATGGCTAAGGAGGAGTGTTACTTAGCATGCTTCTCTTTGTTAATGCAGATGTTTGAGTTATTGTTCAAAGAATGGTTTACACAATGAGTGCTTTTATGAAAAGAGAGGATCTCTTATATCCTGCTAAAACAGTGATTTCCGTTAGCTGTTTTATTGCGTGTGTTATCATGGGCAATTCTAAATATATCTTCTGGAAGGATGCTTGTGTTCCAGGTAGTGCAGCAACTTAGCTATACAGAATTTTCTCCTCAACTTTGACTTCTTATATACCTGTCTAGGAAAGCCTATGGTTTAGGAGCAGTTAAAATTACATATTTTCTTAGCATCTTGTTTTTTCTACATGGGCAGCAACACTGGATGTTTTCTCACTTTGTTTTTATTTTTCCTTGACTAAATATGAGCCGAGTTCAGCTGTTTTCTGTGGATAGACTACTTGTGCTTTTCCTGCTTTACAAAAAGAAAAGCAGAGGATGAAAGGCTGGCAAGATCTGCAGTTTTGGTTTTCCTGAAGGGATTCTGTTCTGATCTGGCTTAATCTTATGAAAAAGTAGTGTTGTGAACTTGTTCCTGATAGCCCTATCACCAACACCTGAAAAAACTGTTGTGTCCAACTTGTTGTCCAGAAGCCATCTCCTGGTAGCTGTAAATGTTTTTTCAGTAGTTTTTTGCAGCTTTGCCCCCTGATGAGGGCAACCTGAGTCATGAGGAATATTGGTGTGTGAGGGATAGGACAAAATACAGGTAGTGTAGTGGGAAACTAGAGGTGTTTGCATTACCTGATTAGGTATCTTAGCTCCTTAGTGTGATTGAGAAATTAAGTTGACTTTATAAAAACTTGTTCCTGCTTAGTAAAAAAGCTTTGACATCTGACTTTTAAAAGGGTGGCAGGCTTTGGCTGTGCTCTCTCCATTCTCTGGATTAGCTTTCTTCCCTCAGCCCAGTGGGAACCAAGTCAAAAGTGGTTAGAGCTGGTAGTATCTCAGTAAGGATGCCTTGTGTTGAGTATGGGTAGTGGCTTAGTTACTCGCTTGCTTATGTATATTGGAGTTTTTCTTGAGGAATTGCAGTACCGTATTGCCCTTCGACTTTCTTACTGTCTTCAGCTTCTGGGTTTCTCGATGTCATTGGACTTGAAGATGTATTATCTCCATAGGATGCATTGGTGTACCACAGTGTAAGTGTGTAAGCAGATAAGCACCTGTACGTAAGGGTTTATGGAAAGTTAAGCTGAAGGAGATAGTAAGTTTGTAAATCATGTGACTTCTGACTGTCACCTTTTTGGTAGTCGTCAAGAAGTCTCTGAACCACAGTGGGAATTTGTGAAATGTTCATGGGAAGCTTGCTCAAAATACAGCAAGAAGTGGAGTTGCAGAGGGCGAGGGAAGATAGGTCAACAGTATGGCTTTTCGTTTAGGATGTTCTAAGCATATTAAGCCTAATTGTTTTGGGGAGAGGCAGTGTTGAAAGTGAATTCCTATGTTTGTGGGAGCAAAAGTAATAAGTACTAATGTTTTTTTAATTCTGGACAAGTTAAGCAAAATTGATAATTCCCTAATACTACTTCTAAATAGCTTCTGCAATAGAACTATATACTGAGTGGATGGCAAAATGGCATTAACACTTCCAAAAGTCTTAAAGTGTGAGGATGCGGAAGGAAGAGCTGTTTCTTCTTTCCCCAGGCTTTCTGGTATAAATAAGTGAGATTATGAGAACTTGTAGAGCAATGGCTAAATTTTTTTGTGCTCTTCAAATTTTGTCACAAACTATTCAAAAACCTAGTGCTGTAGGCTGGATTTAGCTTCATTCTTTAAGTGTGTGCATGTATATATGGCTGTCATGATTCTTGTTACACTGCAGCATTCCTCTGTAGGAACATATCTCTTCTACCTGCATTAGAAGCTGTTTTCATCCCTGCTGCATCCAGTTTGAAAAACTTTATGTATGTGTAACTTTTTGGACCTCTTAAAAGGTAAATGATACTTCATTTTCAGCTGAAGCATTTTAGAAGCTTTGAAATATGTTTAAAAAAAAAGATTACTCTGTCCAACACAGCTGTATTTGTGGTAAGTATGTTTGCTTTCATAAAAGCTGACTAGTGCCTATTTTGACTTGCTCAATAGGTGTAACTTAAATGTGCCTGTTTAATAGGAGCATCTCTGTACTTGAAGTTCAGTAAGAAATGAAACATTTATGTCCTGAAAACTGCCAGCCATTCTGCACATGGTTCTATGCCACTTAAAAGCAATAACTATAATCTTCTCAGGCATTCTACATTTGGGGATTGAAGTCTACTAACAGCTGTCATAAACTGAAGACAGCCCTGGCTACAGATAGTGAGGTGGTAGTCAGGCTTCTACAGAGACCCCAGGCAGCATTTTCTTTCCCTTCTGTCCAGTGTGCTGTGGGAAAAGGCTTTCTTTGTAATTCTTTAAAATACTGTTTTTTACTTCTAATTCAGGTGTGGAAACACAAAATGGTAGTGGATCATTAATGTTTCCAACCTCTAACTCTTCTGCTCTTGGCTTGATTCAATGTGAGTAATTATGGTAGTTTCTACACTCATTGTGTAGATGATCAGCACAGTGTGAAAATAACTGTTTAGCAGAAGTGCCGGCTTGGCTGGTGTTTTTTTGGCTACCTGAGTTTGCCTGCTTGCTTAAACCATAGCTCTTTATTAATACAGCTTGATTTATGTGATTACCTGAATGGTGGGGGAGGTGACTCAAAAGTATTTTATAGGTTGAAAGCAAACTTGCCTATTGACTTGTAAAAACATAGGGATACAGATGGGGTGTGATGACAAGGGTTTGAATGCTGTGTCTATACTTCTGAGGTTGCTAAACTGACATGAATACTTCTCCAAATATACACTCAATGAGGATTGGTTTATTTTGCTTAAAGCAAGAATGTTCTACAGATCTGGCTTTCATGTAAATACAATTCCTTGATGTTTCTGACGAATGCAGGAATCTACTGACATCAGTGGCTTATACTGAACGTATGACAGTACTGTACTGAAACTTTTTTCTAGTGCATGCAGTAAAAATGGCCAGTTAAGTGATTTGAGCCGCTCACTTGTTGTATATGTTAACATTGATGCAAAAGTAGTTGGAACTCCTGGTTTCTTGATCCAGGAAGCACAAAAATGCTGAAATAAACTTAAGCATATGTGTAATTGTCTCCAAATTTAAGTGCATTGCAATTACTGTTGTAACTGTTGGTCTGTGTAATATACTTACTCAAGGCCTGGTAGTGCATCCTGGTGCAAGTCTGACATCTGAATCAGGACTCCCAAGTTCAGTGGCTTGAGTGGAAGATAGGGGCAGAGTAGCAGTCAGGAAGGATGAAATTCTGCTTGTATGCTTTTAATGGATCTTGAATCCAGAAATCTTGTTGAAAAGCTTCTCATCAGAACAGAAGTTGATGGCCTCATCTATTAGGGAGGTCCCAAAAGATGCATTCTGTTATCCAGAAAATCCTCAGTTCAGAGTCTTGTCTTCCATACAGGCAAAAGTTAAATTCTGCTAGAAAGTAGGAAGAGCAAAAAGCTTTCATTGTTTGCTTTTAAACCATACAGGATCTTAAAACTCAAGCTAACTGGTGAGAACAAATTTCTTGTTTCATAATGCAGAAGCACTGCCACTAGGAATTTAGCACTGAAGACTGTAAAAAGGCTTCTAGTAGCACCACAAGTCGTGTGTTAACCAGGCTGTTGTTTTTCTGTAGTCCCAGACTCTCCTGTCAGTGTCTGCAGAATGCTTGCTGGTGACAAAATTGTAGGCACAGTCTGAATTCTTCTTTAGTTTCAGCTGTATGTTGCATTACATGAAGTACAGTGCATTGCTGTCTTGGCTTGTAAATAGGTAGTGTGCAAGCCACTTGCAATTTAGAGGTGTTAATGCTTTTTGAATGCGTGGGGAGATTCTCACTGGTGCTTAATGAGTCCCTCCTGCTGAATGCTGGTATTACTAGCCAATTAGTATTGACCCTTGTAACATGAAAATCCCAGTAGCGTTCACTATGATCTGCAGTTTAAAATGTGAATGGTAGTCTGCTATGTGTAAGTGTATTTATCTGCACTTAATGCTGCAGACCAGTGTCCTCGTTTCAGCTGGGGTAGAGTTAAATTTTCTTCTTAGCAGCTGGTATAGTGCTGTGTTTTGGATTTAGGATGAGAATAATGTTGATAACATGCTGATGTT